ATATAAATCAGCACGTACATTCTAGTAGTGTTACACTATTTCGTAACACTACTATAATAGTAGTAGTGTATTAGTAATGGTAGTGTTAGGAACTGTTATTCTAAGAAATATATGCATAGTTACCGCTTGAGAATCACTACCCAATTCAATCCGTCCCTAGTGTAGGCATTGTTTATTTTACGCCTGTGTCGATTTTCACTGGGAAGTGAGTTTTTACTGGCATTAGAATTAGAAGTTTCTGTAGGGGAGGTCTAGCCGTGCACGGGTAGTTGGCTCCATTGATAGTGTGTTGGAGTTTAGGTCACACTGCAGCAGAATACAGAATACTCGAGGAAATATGCACCGTTGCTGAAGGACAAGGTGCTGAATAAGGAGAACTTAGGTAGGGGCTTAGCGGAGCGAAGCAGAGTGGTGATTGTGCATTGTATTAGATGGTGACTCGTTGGTTCAATTGAGGGTCTTGAAAGGAGATGGAAAGTACGTTCAGAGTAGCATACCTGTGAAGGTAGTAGAAAAGGACTGTGCATGGTGGGATTACGGTAACGCAAATTACTATAATTTATAGCCCTCAATTCACACAAGTTGAGCCTGCATTCGCTCAATATGGTTTTGTGGGCGTATGCTTGCTCAAGACACTCTCAAGTTGAGAGTGTATTGAGCAAGCAAATCCTACCTCAGTGTGCCTGATACCGGCCATGCTGAGTCTCAAAGGACGTATCGGAGGAAAAGCCCTGATCAGGGAATCTAATGATAGGTTTTACTATGTTTACAGGTGTTTCGTGAGACTCTAGCGGCTCCTGCAGTAGGAGGGAGTAGCACGGCCTTGGCTTCGAAGGCGGCGAGCCTTACTGAGCATATCACCTTGCATTTGGATGATGAAGGGAATTTAGAATCCGTTGGATATCGGGTTAGAAAAACGGTAAGAAATCGAGCATATTTCGTATCTTACTCGGACGACCCATGAGGATCTTTTTCTCAGCTGGGAGCTCCATTATTCCAAGCCACTACAGCCGCGTTGCACTCGATGAATGTCGCCAAGGGACCGGCTATACCAGTACCTAAAAAGAAAATTCAGAAGCCGCGATCTGGTATGTTGGGCGCACGCGAAGTTGATATGTTTGTGGTTGTGGATCTGCGGTTCCTGGGAGGTTTTTTCCAAGCAATTATGAATGTCAGAACTCATCCGCGAGAGTAGTTTACGCCACAGTTGGTTTCACGGGAATCTAGTATTGACGTGTACCATTATATATCGTCTTAACCATAGTGAGAGGTTGCGCGAACATAATATATAGTGAGGGAAAGTGAGTTATCATTATTTCGACTTTCCTGCATTTTTTCATGTTGTTACTGCTGTATTGTTAACATAAAAATTCGGGGAAAAATCCTTTGAGGATCGTGCTATTGCAGGAGCGAACGCCTCGGGTGACGGTAAGAACCAATCGACAGTTGTTGGGCAGAAGGCAGAGCTCGACGAAGGCGAATATGAAGTGGAAGAGGACCCGCAGGCTGAGCAGGGATTTTTGAGGAAATACGTAGACGATGAGGAAAAGTTATGGTATGCACGCATGCACATTAGTGATTTTTCAGTGGTGGGTTATCCTTATATTCTTCCTCTTGACCTCTGCGATGGGACAAGATGAAAGTAATATCCTTGAGGTGCTTCCCGAGTCACTTGTATGCTTTGTGCGATAGATCCGAAAGAAGCCGCAGCGGGAGCCGTCAAGGGCGCCAATAATGGAAAGTGAAACACTTGTTTATCCATCGACTTGAGCTTATCCTTCTATTGTCTGTAAGGGTTGAGTTTCTAACGAGCTGGACTGTCCAGCCTGGACAGTGATTTTCGCAGTATGTTGTATTTTGTGATTTGTGTGCTGGGTAGCATAGCCCTAGTACTATGCACCATCCTACTACTTATTCAGGCGTTGGCCAACTTGATGCGAGGAACGCTGCACTTTGAGGCAGGGGACGAAGTGGATGTAGGTTATTACTCGTTGCGTGGTTTTGGCATGGACAGTATATATGGGTTCTTTTGCCTCAGCGTTCGTGAGGTGAAATACTATAGTAAGAGTTGAAAGTGAATTTTCTAGTTCGCGTGGAGTTATTATCGAATTTTCCTTTATTATGCATGGTAATATGAGATATATTCCTGATACTCGAGTTGACAGATTGTGCTACTAGTTCATGCCTCGTGCAGTGCATGAGCACACAATACATAACGTGCAACACATTGGCTATCCGATAGGTTTCCGAGGCAACAAAGGTAAAGTGAGTGGATCCGTCCCCACCTCCGGTGTGGTCTTCACAACTCGCCTCGTCCACGCCAATTGAACCTCCTGTTGTCGGGACGTGATCGGACTCGATCGAGTCTCAGTAGTATCATCTAATCGAATCCTGATGTCTTTGTTGACAACAAGAAAGGAAGATTGATCTCTCGCATTACGTGGTTCGATAAATTCCTTTGGCTTGTGCGTTCTGGGTATGATGTGGTGGGTGGATATCACCTGGGGTTTGCTCGTTGCATGTGGGCGTGCCCGAAGAAATTTTTACTCACGATCCACTCAGCACAGCTAGTCAGAGCTACCTTGCCTGCGGAGCGGTCTACGCGAAGCTCAACAAGGAGAAAGAGAGATTGGTGTGTCACGTCACTCAGCCCTCTATCGTCATGTCCAAGATGAATGGATGAGACGTCAAGTTGCTGCGCGACCTGTTCGGAATGTTATCAACGGTGGCTCCTAAGCAGTGCAGGACAAATTCCGAAGCATTGCTCGACGTATCCTAGAACTCGCAGTTCTTTCCCAGGCAAGGCTTCGTTACCCGGAGGCATCGAGGATTCAAGTGCAACGCACCTTCTCGACCTCGTCACAAGTCCACAGCCTGGAGTTCTGTTTCAAGAGGTTGGTTCGGACGCAAGCCCATTGCTGATCGAGGATAGAGACCTAGATGGTTATTTTACAGGGAGGTGAAAGGATGTATCATACTGTTATCGGAAGCCGTCGTACATGGAGTTATGAGAGTAAATTGTTCACTGTAATATAGCACGCAAGGTGGCATAGTTTCATGTGCGACGGATCGATCGACAATGCTGTGGAGCAACAAGTCTCGGCGTGCATTCGCTCTTGCCCCACTGCTGACTTTAGCATGCACGAGGTGTTCATTACTGGTACAGCATCGGAGCTGAAAA